AATGACATGCCTCTGCCTTTCCAGTGTTATCAGGCTGCTCTTAGAGTTTCCCAGTTCATTCCCCTCTCCCAACCCTAAACTGGCTCTAGAGACCATGTTGGCCTTGAACTCACAGAGCTCTGCCTGAGTGTGCCTCAAGTGCTTGCATTAGAGGCGTGCGCCACCTCACCCGGCAGCCACTTACCAACTGTCGCCAGGTTTGCCTTTTCCAGAAAACCGTGGTGGAAATCATGGGCTGCAGCATTTCCAGATTGGCTGCTTTCCCTTGGTGACGTGTGTTTACGGTCCCTCCGTAGCTCATCCAGTTCTGACATGTGTTTACGGTCCCTCCGTAGCTCCTCAGGGATCGGCATCCAGTTCTGCTTAATGCTAAGTCACCTTCCATGTCCAGGAGTTTCTCTGCTGCCCTGCTGGAGGCATACAAGAGACTTCTGCCCCATCTCAATCCCGCAAGTCCATCATGACAGGCTTTGAGTCACTTGACTCCTTTCAAGGCCTTCCCTGTCCGGGGCAGTTGACAGATAGATGGCAGTAACCCTCTAGCAGGCAGATGCCATGTCCAGGTGCAGGCACAGGGGTTTGCTCTTAAGGAGGAGGTAGAGACAGAGAGGCCTGCAGCTCAGGCTCTAAGGAGCCCGTGCACATCCAGGAATGACGAGGAAGCCCAGAAGAAACCACCAGCTGTGATTCTGTGAACTAGAGCGGGGGTTGGCAGGGGTCGCTGGAGATTGACAGGCCATGAAAAGTGAGCATAGATGCCCAGAAATGAAGCTGGTGTCTGATGAAGCTGGGAGTGTGGGTGCCTTATCAGCTGCTTCTCTGGGAGATGCCAGGGATGCTTCACCTCGGACCAAGATGCTCGAGGGTTTTATTCCTCGGCTCTACTGACTCTAGGCCCTAGATCAGCTTCCTGGGAGCAGGTCTTCTGCCCTGTGAAGCCCCTTCCTCCCAAGTTGGACTCCTATGGAGCAGGATGTAGGGTTTCAGGCCTTGAGTGATGCCTGCTCTCCCAAATGCAGCCCAGAGAGAGGCCCTCTGATGGGACAGACATGGTCAGGTCCCAGCCATGTACCCAGCCAAAGTCACTGGGATAAACAGCTATGGGATGATTTGGACTCACCAAAGACATTTAAAAATTCTGGGTCCCCTGGATTATTGGCCTTTTTATGAGCCTCAGGATTGCACTGCGCAGGCTCCCCACCCCCTCCTGATTGGTCTTTCCAAGTCTTGGCATGGCTGACTGTGTCCCATTCAGCTGCGTTTGTCCTCAAGTTCCTCGCTTGTGAGGTAAGCACCATGTTGGCTTCACAGGGGTGTCAGGAGGGCTGAACAGACCTCTCTGCACCCTGTAGGTCTGAAGCTAAGCAGGGTGCTGAAAAGAAGGCTGCAAGTTACACTGTTGTGTTCCTTGGTGACTGACTTCACAGCATCAGGCCTGGAGCCAGGGAAGGGGGAATCTGTGCCCTGCCCAGCCCAAGCCAAGCAAGGACAGAGATGTCTGCCTCAGAGGCGCCTGGGTCTTTGTCGGCTTTGTTCGGGTAGTTTATTAGCTGAAAAGATTGCTTTTTCTTAACAGTTATGTGCCCCTGGTTGCCAGGCTGTCTTTGACCTTCAAGGACAGCTTGTTCAGCTTTGCTTTGGGCATTTCTATATTTGGCATGGTTTTAGGGTCACTGGATGAACCACACCAAACCCCTGCATCCTGAGTACTCCTCCTCTGCCAGCATTCAGCTCCCTGTCGTTGTCCCCCCCTCCCCCTATAGATGCCCAATGCCGCACGGGACAGTCGGGGACTCTGCTTTCCCGATGTCCTCCTATCTGTCTGACTTTATCTTGTTATGGACAACATTAAGTTGTCCACAAGTAGCTGGGGATGGCCTGATTCTGATTCTGCCTGCTGCTCTGAGAAGCACTGACAGGGTGGGATGAGAAGTAAGTTAAGCAGGCTGGGCAGGCTTGCTATTACCTCTCCGTGGGTACACTTGATCTTGCTAGTCCACAACTGCATCAGGTTCTAGGGCTGAATCCTACTAAGGGCAAAAGATGTGCATGTCAAATCTGCAACCAGTTCACTAGTCTAGAGGGATGCTTAGCAGGCTTTTCCTGGCATCCCTCTCTTGGGCTAGCTCAGCTCTTCCTCTAACCACCAGAGGGCAGCACCACTACCAGATCCACAGCTCCAGGCAGCTCTAGTGGGCAGAGTGGGATCGGGCCAGCAAATCCACACTCTTAATATAGCTCTACCCTCAAACTAGATGCATTTCCAGTAACTTAGGAACTGGTGCTGGGGATGGAACTCAGGGTCTTTGCAGGCTAGGCAAGTGCTGTGCTTCTGAGCCACACCCAGCCCCCACATATTCCTGAATGCATGGTGGTCATTGTTATGGAAAACATCAGTGTTTGCTCGGCTGGTTGCTAAGCAAATCCTTCTGCCCTTGATCCTGGTTTCCCCCAGGACCAGGGATGTGAGCAGAGGGTGGGTGGTTGGAAAGGACAGATGGAAGGACAGATCGAAGTCAGAGGGTGGGTGGATGTGCAGGACAGATGGAAAGGCGGATAGAAGGCGGGGTGGGGGGTGGAGAGTGGAGTAGGATGGACAGGAAGGAACTGTCAAAGTCACACCCCACAAGAGGCAGAGCTGAGACTGTATCCCAGACCAGCTCACCCCACAGCTTACGGGACCCCAAAATCTGAAGATGACTTCTTGCTCACCTTGGCTTTGAGCCAGATTCAGGCCATATAATCCCGGCCTTGTCTGATCAGGAGAAGATGCTGCCCATTGTCCTTTGTGTCCCAAACTGGGAGGCCATAAACGTTCTGGAGCACTGCCCCACCCTGTATCTCTGAGCCACACAGGACTAGGGTCATTCACACGGATGACCCCCCTGGACCAGCCATGCACAGCTGTGAGCAATTGACATAGCCGAAAGCCCTGGCAGCACGGAGTCTCTCAAAGTCCCACTGAGTCAGAGGCCCTGGCTCTCTGGCCTCCTGCCAGCTTTCTATAGTATGGGCGGATATTTCTGATCCAGTTCAGTAGTGAAGGGAGAGGGGGCAAGTGTCAGGGAAGTTCCGCCACGGCCAGGCCAAGGTGCTAGCTGGGAGGATGTGGGCATAGCGACCAGCTGCCTGTGACAGCAAGGGCTGTGGGCTGCATCATGCTGCTGCTGAGGGGCCACCACCGTTACTGTGACCTTCAGATTAGCATCTGTAACAGAGGTGGGAAAAGTCCTGTGGAGGAGGGAGGGTGAAGAGAACCCCCAGAAGCTATCGGCCTGGGTAAGCTGAAGTGGCACCTCGAGGTAGATGTCTGAGTGACAGGTTAGAGGCTTCTATGGCCGGTCCTAGGTGGGAGACAGAGGCAGAGGTCAGGCAGCAGCTGTAGGTGAGCAATCCCATTTTGGGCTTGTTGGATCATGCTGCAAAGGTGTGGTTTAGCACCCAGGATGCCACTAGAGATAACACCTGCCTTCTGCATGGCTGACTGTGGCACAGGGTTGTCTGGCCCGTGGCTGTAGGCCATGGATTCTCACTCTGCATCTGTAGTCCCCGGGCATGGCTCTGCATTGTTCTCAGCTTGATGGTTCAGACAGTAGCTGGCTAAGATTACTCTTTTGGTCCGCTGTTGCTAGTGGTAGGTTCTGCCCATTGCAAGGGGAGAGGGGCAGATGGCTAGTGTGCTCCACTCTGTCCCCTCTATCACTGTCACTGTGTGTGTCCTGTGGCTGCAATAATGAACAGCACTGGAGGACCGAGGCTGGGCAGGTTATGCTGGGCTGAAGTTGGGGCTGTGGCTCTTCCTTCTATAGCTGCATGTGGAACCCTCACGTCACCTTTGCTGGCTTCTGGAGATGCCAACTCTCATGGTTCACGGTTCTTCCTCATTAAGACTAACTATACTGCATCTTTCTGACCTCTTTCTTAATCATATGTCAACTGACTACCCAGGAAATGTCCTTTGATGATATTAGGCCATGCTGGACAGCCAGTGGCCTTTCCTTGGCCTCCTCAGTCCCTGTCTGAGCTTAGGAGACCCAATGTCCCATACACAGCCATAATATCCCAATACACATCTGGGTCCATTACTGGAGTGGCAAGTCTATGCATCAACAGAGTGTGTGGCCTCTCTAGACCAGGGCCTGGTAGTCCCTTCCTTCTGGCCACAGACCCACATGATCCCTGTATGGCAACCTGGGACCTGTGGCTCTTTAGTTCCTCTAGTAAACTCAATTTTGCTTTAGTGTAAAAACTTGAGAGTCTCCTGGATACTTCCCTGTTACAGGGGCAGACCTGAGGCTTCCATACCATGGCCCAGCATCCGATGTGCTGGCATCTGCAGGTCCTTTAGTAGGCCACAGGGTCATTCCTGGTGCCTGGTTGTGCCTGGTCTTAGGACCACAACCCTGGCTCTTGAACTGGTGGTCTCCAATGCCTCCTTCAACTGCCTACCTGACTGTGGCTGACTCTTGCGGGTCATTGACAATGTTTAGTCTGGTGTTTTGGGACCCGAAGGAAATGTGGAACCATTTCTCAGAGGGATGCAGCTGTCTGAAGAGGAGGCTAAGGGTTCCAGGGATGTAGGACCACTGAGATGTCTGGTCGGTGATGTTCCTCTGAGACTCTGGGTGTTGACATTGTACTGGATGAATGCAACAAGGGTTAGCTGCTCTTCCAGAGGGAACAATGGTCGCCTTGCTACTCCAGGAGGGCACAGAGATATGTTGGGACATCATAAATAAGTGTGCAGTGATATGGATACGACAGCTCCCTGAGTAGAGCAGCCACAAACAGAGCCCACAGTGGGTTTACCAAATGATCTTGGCCCTCAGAACTGTCACCTGTCATACAACTTGAATGTCACTTAACCCCAGATGGAAGGAGGGGATGACCCATCGCTTCATGCTATGTGGGTCCAGTGCTGAGGGTGGGGGCATGCCAGAAGGCCTCCTGCTTGCTCTCCCTGTGTCCCTCATTTTAACCTGGCTCCTTTCTCCCCTCAGTGTCGCAGCCCCAGGCTGCTCATGACCCCCTGGAGAAGCCAGCCAGCACAGCGATCCTGTGCAGCACCTGTGGGAATGTGTGCAAGGGTGAGGTGCTGCGCGTGCAGAACAAGTACTTCCACATTAGGTGCTTCGTGTGCAAAGGTGAGTGTGTTCTTGGCCTTGTGCTTGGCCACAGAGTGCCCCAAACTGGGCTTCCCAGCCACCCTTCTCACTTTCTGGGTCTGGAAAGCTCTCTGGCCACACCTGAGGCTGTGTCTTTCCAGAATACTGTCTAGTGTGACAAAGGAGTACTCCCAGGGAGATAGGGAGACTCTGGGTCCACAGGGGTGGAGGCATGCAGCTAGCCCAGAATCAGAGATGCCAATCCTGGAGCCACTGGGGCTTTGCTGGCTGTGCAAAATCAGTAGCAAGCAGTGTTCAGGGGGGATTGCTGCACCGATGCTGCCTCCCTCCTGCAATGGCCCTGTTAATGTTCTAAATGAAAGTCACTCATTTTTCCTTGCTTATAAAAAGTAGCCTAAAAAAACACAATAAACTTAAATAATACCAAGAAGATAAGAAGAGGGCTTGAAGCTGTGTGTGCAGCCTCTCCAGAGGGTATGTCTGTATGCACAGCCTCTCCAGCATGTGTGTCTGTGTGTGCAGACTCTCCAGCGTGTGTGCCTGTGTGTGCGGCCTCTCCAGCATGTGTGTCTGTGTGCGGCCTCTCCAGCGTGTGTGCCTGTGTGTGTGGCCTCTTCAGTAGATGTGCCTGTGTGTGTGGCCTCTCCAGCAGGTGTGCCTGTGTGCACGGCCTCTCCAGAGGGTATGCCTGTGTGTGCAGCTTTTCCAGCACACCTGTCTGGGTTTGGAACCTTCTCCTCTGCCCTGCATTTCATGTGCATGCTGGGGACTAAGCACACCTCCACCCAACATCCAAGAAATGTGAGAAAAAGTACTCACAGGGTGCAGTGGGTAGGACCCACCCACTGGACATGGCGTATAATCTCACAGAGCTGGTAGTGTTAAAGGGATAGTGTTTTGGAGCCCACAGATGCATCCCTGCAATTTGGGCAAGTACTATGCCCGTGCCCTCTGACTTGGCAGTGGCGTTCTCCAGGGCTGGCTGGAGATTGACACTGCCTTCATCACGGTGACCCTCAGTGAGGGGAGGGAATGTTGTTTGGGTAGAAAGAATAGTAGTCAAATCCTTGGGACATAGAGGTCTATAGGGAGCGTCCAGAGGCTTCTAGAAAGAAGTCCATTGAGGAGGTACATTTGGCTGTAACTTGAAGATAGAAATTTGCCAGACAAGAATAAAGCTGCCCTAGATGGGAGGTGACCCCATCAAGTCAGCTGTGTGGGGGGGAATGGAGAGGGGTTGGTGACTGACCTTAGAGAGGGGATGTAGAACTAGGAGCATCTATGGGGTTTGATGCCAGGTCCTCTCTGGCCCCTGAGCCTATAGAGGTGCCCGGGCTTCTGTTTGAGGAGCACTACCTGCTCCACTCTGGTCCCCTGGCCCAGCTACAGCGTATAAAGAAAGTCCTGGTGTTGAAAAGAGAATCTTCTGCAGAAGGAGCCACCCCCAAAACACCCCTGGTGCTGTCAGTTTTGGATGGTCAGCCTCCACAGGAGAAATATGGCCTGTGGGGTAGTGACGGGAAACAGCCTGGGCTAGCTCTTACAGGGTCTCTTTCTGGGACCCTGAGGGATCCGCCTTCAGCTGAGCCAGACACCAGCCTTCAGAGGCCTCATCCTAGGGCATCAGCAATGGCTCTCAGTGGTGTCCCAAGAGCCACCAAGGTTTGAGGGTGTCATGGGCACCCCTGATGCATTATCACAATGACACCCCATTTTTCTAGCCCCTTCCCCACTGTCACACATGACAAAAGCTCCAGAATCCTTTGTGATGGCCACCCCAGGACTGCGACTGGGGCTGCATGAGAAAAAAAATGATGACATGGTCACCTCACTCCCAGCATAGCCAGGAAAGCCTGCACCGCAGACTCCACAGAACAGGTGTGAGTCGGGGGCTGGAGGGCTATTCCGTCATCTCACACAGTTCCAAACCACCCATCCCCAGAGAAAAGGACATGTCAGTTCTGGGGGATTTTCCTACAGAGAGCAGCAGCCCAGAACCTGCAGAAAAAGCTAGGTGTGAGTGTGCATCCGCTTAGCCCGGCACTGGTGAGTAGGCAGAGGCAGGAGGATTCCCTGGAGCTCACCAGGCAGCCAGCGCAGCTGAATCAGAGAGCTTCCATAGACACACAAAGACATACGAATTACACACAAGAAAGAACGAATTCCAAGAAGTGACCCTGACCCTGCCCTCCCATCAGCTGCTGCCAACCCTCGTGTCCCTCAAAAATGAGCACCTCCCCACTCCCTCCAGGCCTCTGCTAACTTGATCCTTCTCTAACTGTAATGTGATAGAGACGCATTGTCTCGACGAGGGACTTGAGTTACTGGTGAACTTGGACTTTTTATTTTTAGGAGCAGAGGTCTGGGATGTCACTGCCTTGGGGTGACCTTGGGATCCTCAGAGCAGCCAGAAACCAAGAGGCAGCTGAGGCAGCAGGGCCAGGAGCTGGCGGAGTCTCGCAGGGCGTGGGGCATGCCTGTCTGTGTCCCTCTTCCTGTGTTATAGTGTGACTCTCTCGGCTCTGTGTCTCTGCACACATTCCTCTTTCAAGGGCTGACCAGTGTTGGTACAGCTGTGACAAGCAGACACAGCGCAGAGTCAGCACCTTGAATACTTGTGACTGTCTGTCTCCAAGGCACAGCGGTATAATCCTGTGCATATCTGTCGGCCCCATGGCCTGTTCTTGCAGAAGAACATTTGTTTGATCTATAGTGGGACAAGATTAAACCTTGGGTTTCATTCCCAGACTGGGTGTGGAGAAGGAATTCAGCATGGCTCCAGGCTGGCATCTAGCAGCCATGGGCTGTAAGGAATGTACATACACATACATGACATGGAAGGTCCCTCTCGTTTTGTATCAGGAGCCGTGTTTCTGCAAATGGCATTGTTGTGATAACTTTTAGGCTATTCTATCTGAGACGCTGAATGGCTTACTCGCGTGTGTTTCTGGGGCTGGAGAGTATGAGGGAGGAGCACACTGTGACCCCAGGAATTGACCTGGGGCCTGCCAGCTGTTGCTGACCAGTAGTCCCAGAGTAGATACATCGGTCCATAGCCCGCACTCTTCTCTGCTCCTCCACTAGGCTTAACAGTCTCCGCTCCCGGGAGCTGTGTATCCAGACAAGAGACTAGAGGCTCACAGTGAGACTGTGGGTTTTCCTCCTGCTCTGGATCTGGCCTTGCCATGTTACAGGGGCCAGGGGCTGAGATCTGTGAGAACCAGATGCAAGGGGGAGGCACTGGGAAGTTTCTCTGTGGACTAGGGGACCATGTATGGGCTCAGCTGTCCTCTCACTGGCAACCCAGAGCAGCCTCTCTCTCTCTCTCTCTCTCTCTCTCTCTCTCTCTCTCTCTCTCCCGTGTGCATGCAAACATGCACACACACACACACACACACACACACACACACACACACACACACCTGCTCACCCATTCTAACACTGGAGCAGCTTGAAGGGGCTCACAAGGTCTTAGAGGCCAAAGAGCCTCTTCGTACCCTAGAAATGGTGGGAAGCTGGTCCTGCCCTCAGTTCCTCGGTGCCTATTTTTGGAAACTTCTACAAGAAAAATACACACGACTCTAGGCTACAGCGAAGCCTGTGTCTGTCCCTGGAGCACTATCCTGGGTAACCTTAGGCATTTGGATTTGTAGGACCTTGTATCAGGTGGGCTGGGGGCAGATCTGCTGGCCCTGAGACATGAGTTGGTCAGTCTGCTAATCCAGCCTTTGATCTTCTCCCCAGCGTGTGGCTGTGACCTGGCCGAGGGTGGCTTCTTCGTACGACAGGGTGAACACATCTGCACACGTGACTACCAGCGGCTCTATGGCACTCGTTGCTTCAGCTGTGATCGCTTCATTGAAGGAGAAGTGGTGTCAGCACTTGGCAAAACCTATCACCCTGACTGCTTCGTGTGCGCTGTGTGCAGGTGGGTGGCCCAGCCTCTGCCCTGCTGACCTCTGCCCCCTCCTTCTGGCCCGAGCCCTGGCTCCACTCCATCTTCACACATCAGGCACAGGGAGGTATAGCAGTTTGTTTGGGGTCATCCAGAGCAGGTTCAAGAGAGAGCTGGCTGTGAGCAAAAGCAAGGGCCGGTCTTTGCACACCATCTCTGTTCACTTCCTCCGGTCTTCAAGCTTCCCAGACTCAATCCCACCACAGCCCTTACTGCCCTTACCTGGGCCTACCCTGGGCCTTGCCCTCTTGTGCATCACCATCTTTTGACTCCTGGCAGGACTCAGCTGCCTCCACCCAACCCCACAGTAAGTCTTCTTACCCCTGGTCTCCAAGGTGGACATCCCTAGCTCACCCTTGGTCTCAGCTCTACTCCTGTCTACATTGCTTCCTGCCATGCCTGCCCAGGTGGAAGTCTGTCCCTGCTCACCCACTCCCACAGGCCAAGGCTCTACTTCCTATGTCCTGGCCTGCAGATAGCATGGCCTGTCCACAGAAGTCTCACACATTGCTGTCCTCAAACCCACCTGGCTCTGGACTCCAAAAATGACTGTTCTCTGCCTGATCCTCACCACTGCCACCTGTTCCCAGCACCCCTGGACCCCCGACCCGCACCCCAGGCTCCTGATCCCGCCCCAGAGGTGTCTCACCTGTTATTCCTAATTCCTATCATTGCCTCTTTCCATCATCCATTCAGTCCACGGGTGCTGGGCCCAGGGCTCCACAGGCACTGACTCTGGCCCTGGAACCTCAGCCTCTTAGATGCCTCCCAAAGGGGAAGCAGGCCCTGTGGGTAGCTCCATGGTCCCTCAGAGCCCATCTCCTTTCTTCTCTCCTTTCTCCTTCCCTCCCACCCAGTAGGTCCCTTCTTCCTTCCTCCCTCTCTCCCTCTGTCCTGTCTCTCTGCATGCTGACCCATTCTGGTCCACAGCTGTGTCCTGCCCAACACCATGGTACAATCTTGTCACAGGTGGCTGGGAGAGGGTTGAGCCTGGGAGCCCTGGTTCTGGTCCCTGGTACCTGGCATAGAGCAAGTGAACTCCCCATGGAGAGTCTGTATGCCACCCTGGCATGCCTTCTGACCAATGGCAGCCTTTCTAGGGTCCCTGTACCTCCCTCCCCTGCCCTCAGGAAAGGCCCCTGGCTAGCAAACATGGGTCAGGGTGAGGATCAGAGTGTGCTTGGCTGTTCCCAGTGTTGCTGTGTCCTGCCTGGGTGGTGTTTCCTATGTCCTTTCAAAGCACTCGGCTATAGTCACAGCATGTACCCAACGCCAGAACGGAGCCTTTGACCAGGAGACATCAGGGGAGGAAGCTCAGTGGGGGACATTTCCCGTGGAAGAGTTGCAGTGTGCTCTCTAGTGTGGTTGGGTCAGAGGTCTCCAGAAATTCCTTAATGGTTTCCATGCGCACCCTTACGTGGTGGGCCCTGCCACAGCTGGCCTGAGAGCCCACCTTGGACAATCTACCAAAGCACAAGTGACAACTGGCAGCACCGTTCAGGGTGTAGGGTGGGGCTCTGCCACTGCACATAGCCAGACTAGACACCACACAGAGTTGGCCTTCAGCAAGCACACACGGAGCTGGGGCCACAGTCCTGCTTCCTGCTGGAGGCTGACTCCAGGGGACCACAGAGAACAGAGGGAGGTGTTTCCTGGCCAGGGCGAGATGACGAATGGAAAGGTGGTATTGGCAGGATGTATGAGACAAGGGGAGAGAATGTGAGTCTCAGGCCAAACACCTAGTCACGTCAGCCATGTCACCATCAAGAGGCCTTCACTCCATGGCAACAAATGCCCATGTGAAATGCTTTAAAAGGAAGAGCGCTTCCCTGCCCTACCCTGCCCATTATGGTTTCAGAAGACTCTGCCACACTAGATGGATGCGTAATGTTGCTGGTGCTGCCCACATTCAAGATGGATTTCCTTCCTAGAAACACTCTCAGATAGACCCAGAGGTCGTGTAATGCCTGCCAGATATTTCTCAATCCAGTCAAGCTGACAGTCAACATGAGCCATCAATGGGGCGAGGGATGGCCAGGCTGCTGTGCTGTACACAGTTCCCAGTGGCACTGAGTTCTAAGCACAGTGGACGGTCCTTTCTGGGCACTGCAGGGGTGGCCCACGCTGGAGAAGAAGCTCTTATGCACTCACAGATGAAGGGTGAGCCTCCTTGAGATGTCCCTAAAGGCTGGCAGTCCACCCTCCTTCCAGGAAGGTATGAGAACCCTGCATCCAACTGCATAAATTCTATCACATCCAGTGTTTACTCAGAAGTGTAGACCCCAGATGAGACGATGATCCAAACATGGAGAAAGGTTAGTGGAGACTACCAGGGTTGATATCAGCAGATGCAGACATGGGGACAGTCATGTCCACTCTGTTGCTGTTGAACAGAGACTGTGCCCAGAAGTGGGAGAGCTATGGTGGTATAGAAACAAACCCCTGTCCATCTAGAAGCCAAACATGTTGCTCCTGAAGTGATCAGCCACATGCAAAAAATTAATAGAAGCCCAAAAATGTCAGTAGAAACTTTCACACTGGCACACAGAGGAGTGGGTATAGAGCCACTGTCTGCCTCTCTATTGGTCTACCTGTCTGCCTGCCTGATTGGAGACAAAAACCAGTCCTTATGGAATATTGGTTGAAAATTGTCTAGATTTGATGAAAGCGAGAAGCCTACAGCCCGCAAATCTCAGAGACTCTAAAAGGAGAGTAACCTGATATTCAGTCAACCCTATGTGAGAATTCATTGAGACATCACAGCCACACTGCTAAAGATTTGCAAGAAAAAAAAGTCTAAAAACACCGGGAAAAATATAACTGCCACACAGAACCCCCCACCCCAAAAATAAAATAAAACACCATGTCTGTGGAAGAGAATGAGTGTTGCAGGGAGGGGCCCATGTTAGGTGCCAATCTGTAGGAGGGAGGGTTGTTTGTCCCAGCTAGCTTAGATCTGAAATAATCACACAGAAACTATATTAATTAAAACACTGCTTGGCCCATTAGCTACAGCTTCTTATTGTCTAACTCTTACATCTTAATTTCACCCAGTTCTATTAATCTGTACATCACCACAAGGCCCTGGCCTACCAGCAAAGTTTCAGCATGTCCATCTCTAGTGGCAGATCCATGGCATCTCTCCTTCCACCTTCTTTCTTCCAGCATTCAGTGCAGTTTTCCCCACCTACCTAAGTTCTTCCCTATCAACAGCCCAAGGCAGTTTCTTTATTCATTAACCAATAAGAGCAACACATAGACAGAAGGACCTCCCACACCACATGGGAAACAGATGATGTCTGTAAGCACCAACAGGAAAATAAGATCCACCCGTGCTGTACTTAGCCAAAGTCCTTCTGAAGAAGGCCAGACTCAGCCCGAGGCCATTCTGCAGGATGATTCACCTGACCCAGAGCTGACTGACCTTGTTGATAAAAATGGTGATTGAAATGTTCTGAAATCGATTGTGATGATGGTGTCCCAGCCCTGGGCACACTAACTCCATTGGGTTATACACTGAGGCATGAGAATACTGAGCATCAATAAACAGGCACCATAAAAAGAGACGGAGACAAAAAAAAGTCTTTATTGGACACACAAGAGCTAAGTGAGCTTGACCCCAGCAGGCCTTCCCTGCTACAGGGTGATGGTTTTGCAGGCTGGAGGGAAGATATCAGCAGAATTTCAAAGGAGCTTGCAGTAGGAGGCTAGCCTCGGCAATAGACTGAAGTTCTATGTCAGAGCAGACAAAAACATAAAATCTATAAAACAGGGAGCGATAAATCCTTTCTCTCAAGATGTTTCTTTTTGGACATTTTGTCATAGCAACGAGGAAGTAACTGATATAGGCCAAATATGTAAAGAACTTCTACAATCCAAAGGAAACATCCAGAAGGAGCCAAAGGGTTTAACAGATGCTTCACCAAAGAACATATGCAAATGACAAAAGATACAGAAAACACACCTCATTTGCACCATTAGCTAGTGGGGACATCGACCAAAACAGTTGTGAAATGGCAGCTGTGCCTGCTGGCATAGATACAAAGTATGGTGGTTAATAGCAAGAGCTATGACAGCCAGGCCACACAGCAAGGGCTGAGACGTGAAGTGGTACAGTTTCCTTAGAGACAGAATCACACAGTAGGTGACCAGGAATTCCGCTCTGGGAAAGGAAGTCCCACGATGCAGGTGTCTGTAATTCCAAGTGGTAACAACCCAGATAGATGCCTTTGGACAGATGTGCTGGAGTAATACTCAGCCCTGAAAAAGAACAAACTGTTGACATGAGGAGTGGCAACACGGGCAGATCATGGCAGTGTGGCCCTGAACAGAAGGCTCGAATGGCTCTGTTGTCTGGGATATGGGAAGTGGGGTAGCAGATAAGAGCCCCGGGGACATTTTACACTGGCCAGATGTTCCATGGCACGATGGCACTGATTATACTGAGAACATTTTCTAAATAATCTCTGTTAAGTCATTCGAGCTTGTAGGAAAATGGCTACTGGGCATTCACAGCCCTGGAGTCTAGGCTAGCCTGTTCCACCATGGATGTCTGAATGGATGGCAAGCCTGTGATGCATGTCATTAGTCTTCTCTTGCAGATGAGAAATGGGAACACAGAGAGGCTGTGTGAGGTATTGAAGCTGCACAGCTGGAGTATGTCTTAGCATATTAGAGACTGTCAGGGACTCCCACTCAGTCCTAAAGTCCCCCCGTACCTGGGGAGATGCATCATGGTAGCTTTCAGACCACAGCACTGGCAGGCAACAAGTGCCGGCATCCGTGAGCTGCGCGGAACCCAGGTCAGCCAAAGGATGAGGAAGTTGTAGGACCAGCCAGCAAGGCTGGGACCTGGGCCCAGTCTAGTCTGTCAAGTTCTTGATCTCCCAGAAAGAGGACCATCTGCTGAGTCAGGAGCCATGCCCTGGAGTGACACCGAGAGAGGACTGGAGGTGCCAACAGGATGTTCACTCTCATTTCAGGTTGCCATTTCCTCCTGGGGATCGTGTGACCTTCAATGGGAAGGAGTGTGTGTGCCAGAAGTGTTCCCCGCCCACGACGCTGGGAAGTAGTGCTCACCTGGCCCAAGGCCTCCGGAGTAAGTGCGGCTAGGCCTCTGTATGGTGGGTGCTAAGCTGAAAGAGTGGGGATGGGGAGGACGGAGGGGGTGGCTGAGCCTGACATTATGGGACCAGCACAGTAACAGAACACTGAACACCGGACACCCAGTAGGTAATCTCCCTGCTCCTGCCACTGAACCTCAGCACAGGCTGTGCCCGTCACAGCCACCTCAGGTTTTCCATTCCACATCCCTTCTGCTGTCACCTAGTGCTAGGCATCCTCCCCCAGGAAGCCTTCCCAGTCTCCTCTCTAATCCTTCCCTTTTGGTGCCGGCACAAGACCTGGACCACCTTGATGGCCAAGCCATATGCAATGTGCAGGGCAGGAACAGATACCTCTGGGAAACCCTGTAGATCTCTCGTAGACTGCTAAGGATGTCCTGTGACTGGCAGATAGGCAGTCTTCGTCACAGAACTGCTCTGCCACTGGCAGAGCCATGCAGGGCTGCCAGGGCACCAGAGGCATCAACAGTAGGCACTGTGTTCCCATGACAACTCTCCTTAAAACCTTTCAGGGACAGGCATGGGGGAGGTTGTTGAGAGCAGCTTTGTGGTGGCCCAGAGACACAGAATCCCAGGCAGAGGAACCCAGATAGTCCTCCACTCCCTACTCTGGAGTACCAAGTGGGTTGGTGGCAACTGAGTGGCAGTCATTCCTGGGACCTCTGCCACAGCCCCAGCTCTGGCCACAGGACTAATTGTTAGAGCAGAGCCAGGCTCTCTGGTAGATGTTGTCTGTACCTGCCTTTCCTCATTCATTAGGTACAGTCTTTACACCTGGAACCTGTGCTTGCCTTTGCTCTCTGAGGGTCAGAGCTGTCATTAGCCCTCAAGAACATCACCCTTGCCTTGGGATACACAAGTGACTTGGCAGCGGTCATGTAGCAGCTGGGAGGCAGTTAGTGCCTGGGCGTCGGGAGCCTCACCTGGAGATGGCCTCTGACACCTTTGCAGGAGGCATGTCTTCTGTCTGGTGTGGTGTCACCCATAGGCCAAGTGTTGTGTGTACCCAGAGAAGCTGCTCAGTCCCAGCACTATGGATATTTGGGGCCATTTTCTCTGGGGTAGCCTCTGTGCAGAGCTAGGCAGGAGGCGTAGCATCTCCTCCAATCCCACATTGCACACACAGAGGCCTGCCCCTATTGGAGCCATCAAAAGGGTCTCCAGATCTTGTTAAAAGTCCTCTGGGAATGAATCATCCCTGCCTGGGAGCCACTGCCTTGGTGCTCACAAAATGTGGCCTACCACCACATAAAACGCTGAACAACTGAGTGTCTCTGTAGTCCCAGAACTAGCATGGTGGAGGTAGGAAGATCAAGAGTTCAAAGTCATCCTCAACTACATAGTGAGTTTGAGTCCCGCGTGGACTACCCTATGTCAACAAGCAAAAGCCCAAAGTATGTGTGTACTGAGCACGTGCCGACATCTTCCTTGTCGTTACTGCCAGTGAGTACAGTGTTTGTGTGCTCCAGATAGCACTGGTTAAAAGAACATTAAGGCTGTGTGTGTGTGGGGGGGGGTGTACAGAAGAGCAAAGGCTGTGCCTATTCTGAGACAAGACTTCAGTGTCCCAGGGGTCCTGGCACCCAGCCCCGGAAATTAAGAAGCAGTTGTGCCCACACAGGCTGCACACAGCACATAATATACCCATACATAAGACAGGCAATGGTGGCACACGCCTTTAATCCCAGGACTTGGGAGGCTGAGGAAGGTGGATCTCTGAGTTTGAGGCCAGCCTGGTCTACAGAGTGAGTTCCAGGACATCCAAGACTGCACAGAGAAACCTTGTCTCAAAAAAGCCAAAAATAATAAAAAATACCACCACATCCTTGCACAGATACATGCAGGCAGGATGCACACGTCCCCACAGTCACCCCTGCGTGCTCTCCCTACACTCCCTGCCTGTTCCACTTTGCTGGGAGCCCACACATCCTTCAGTGAGTGACAGGGACCCTGTTACAGCAGTTCCCTGTGTGGAGGGACCAGTTTGCTCAGCAAAGTAGAGCCAGGACCCGAGGCCCAGAGCCCTCAGCATCATGTGGGCACAGCGGGAGGGCAGAGGCATCAGGCAGCCTCCTGATCAGAGCTTCAGACCAGGACACTGGCACCATGAAGTCTTTGTGGTCTTTGTGGCAGGGGTGGAGGTGGGGTTCGGAGAGAGAGAGCAGAGATGAGTAGGGCAGGCAGCAAGAAGCTGTCTGGGCCTGGGATAGTTCCCAGCTGATGAGGGACAGCACAGAGAGCAGAGGGAAAGAGAATTCCAAATGCAGGGGCCTCATAGCCAGAGGAGGAGTTGGGGATTGTGGAACAAAGCGAATCCCTAGGAGGGGGCTCCAGGCGGGTGAGATGAGCGGGGAGTGGAGGCGAAGGCTGGGACTCAGCTCTCCAGGAGGGGAAGCCAGACAGGTGGGGCTGTGGGGCCAGGAGCAGGAGTGACAGAAGGGCTGGGGTTCAGATCTCTCCGGGGAGGTCATGTCCCTCTGGTGAGATTACATATTATATGTAAGTTCAACATTCTGCCTCCAGCAAAGGGTGGGAAGTTCCTGTACCAGGAGCTGCCAGTGCACAACCAAGCAGGCTGCCCCAACCCCAGGCCAGCCTAGACTCGGCACACCCTGGTGTGAGGATGTGGTTCTGCACTGTGACGGATCCCATCTTTTAGAAGGCCAGCTTCATCTCCGCCTTCGTTTACCCACTCTCCAGCCCAGGCTGCCTAGTGTCAGCGCTCCTCATACGCAGGATTAAGCCTCACCACGAGCTGTGCAAGGGCTCCCTGGAACTGTGGGACAGGGTCCTTTTAGCACGCCACTGTGTCTGTACCTCTCCCCTAGGGTTGTTCTGGGTGATTCTGTGGGGCCTAAGATTCTGAGGGGTTGAATGCCCCTGGTGGGGTTGCTGGGCCTTGCAGTAAGAAGCCCCTGGGCCCACTGTGAAGGTGTCTGTTCTCTATTTCAGGTTGTGGGGGCTGTGGCTTAGAAATCAAGAATGGCCAGGCCCTGGTGGCTTTGGACAAGCACTGGCACCTGGGCTGCTTCAAGTGCAAGACTTGTGGGAAACTCCTCAATGCAGAGTACATCAGCAAGTAAGTATGGCAGACAGAGACAGCCCAGAAAGGCCTTGCCGGATGCTGCAGGTGGAGCAGGGCGCCTAGTCCTGGTGGGCCGATTAGTCCTGCTCCTGGGTAAAGAGCCAAGGCCGGGACTTGCTCTGGTCCCCGCAGCCTTCCTTTTCCTCACTAGCAGCCCTACTGAAGTGGGTTGCAGCTCCAGCTCTGACTTGTGGCTTGAAGCAGAGGAGTGGGGCTGCCAGCTCTGCCTTCATAGAACACCTGCCTATGTTCCAGGATGTTACCACCTGCTTGGTGCCTGGACATTCCTGGCACTGGATGACCTGCAGAGCACAGAACAACTGATAGATGCTAGCTGCAAGGACCCATGAGTCTGGCTGTCCCCATGGGAACATGGGAGCTTACAGGCACATGTTCTGATCTGCAGAGATGGACTCGGGGATATCCTCTACCCATTGGCTCAGTACCCTCCCAGCATGCTGTTAGGGGGTGAGCCTACCTGGGGAGGAGGCAGCATTTGCCAGAAGCCATGGAATCATGTCTTGAGCTGGGACACACACACACACACACACACACACACACACACACACACACTGGCTTTTCCAAAGCTACTGGGTTTCTCTGTAGCTTTGAAGCCTGTTCTGGAACTCTCTCAGTAGACCAGGCTGACCTCAAATTCACAGAGATCCACCTGTCTCTGTCTCCTGAGTGCTGGATTTAAAGGCATGTACCACCACTGCTTAGCTAAACTGGAATATATTTTAACCCTGGGATCTTGGAGGTGAGGCAGAAAGTGCAGGTGAAGTGAGCTGGGTGGTGATTGAAAGAGTGCCCCTAGCACAGGAATGTTCTCCTCCATGCTCCAAAATTGGAATCCATATAGGCATTGATTAGGTAGAAAAGGTCCCCTGGTAAGATTGCATAGAGTAGAGTGTGTGTGCACATATGCATGCACACATGCATGCACACACACATGCACACATGTATGCATATACACGCATACACAAATACACATGTATGCACACAGTGCAAATAATGCACATAAGCATGCACGTTTGTGCACACCCATATGTACATGTATGTGCATGCATACATATGTACATATATACAAATGTTCAGGAGGACATGTACAGAGTCCTAGAGGCCACTGTGTTCATGCTGGCACCCAGATCGACAGTATACTCTGTCACACGGGGATGAATAGAGAGTACCAGGGACCTCTCTGTGTTCCTGATTAGAATACCATGTGACCCATTAATCACAAAATGAAACATTGCCTAAAGTGATGCTCCCAAGACAAAGTGGGCTTCCACTCAGGTCTGCGAAGCCCGAGTCCCCCGGCCTCCATCACAGTCATACTGTGGGGCATGACTCAGGCGGACAGAGCCTGGTGTGCAGGACTCTGAAGAAAATGGCAGAATTGCCCCATCAGGTACCACCCCACACAGGGCGTTGGTGGCTCACCCACACCAGCATGTTACTTAGCAGCCTCCAGAGCCATCCCAGAACTGAGGGGGAGAGCACACTGGTGTTGCCATGGAGATGGAATCTAAGAAATTCCTGGGTTTGCTGTAGATATATGAACTTGTGGGGTCTCTAGGTCTGTGTCCTCTCTCCTGGGATCAATGGAAGACAGTCACAGGGGGGCACCCAGCCCTGCAGAACTCATCCTGGGGTCTTGTGAGGGCCCCAGTATTAAGGGAAGGAGTGTGGCACCCAGTCTAAACCCCAACAGCCCAAAGATGCCTGCTTGTCATGGCTGCAGAAATCTAGGTAGAGTTCACCATAGTTGCAGCTCCAGTGGGTATGCAGGTGCCTCCCTCCTGTCACCTCCACACTAACTCCTGGTGAGCTGTGGCCGTGGCTAAAGACAGACACAGCTAGCAACAGCAATAGTCTCGGACATTGACAGTGCTTTCTTAAGCCAGCCCCCAGTATCTCCTTCTCCTATGAAGACCTCACTCTCATTTCTCCTGTTTTAGTGGGAGGGACTGAGGTTCAGTCATGTTGAGTGACACACTTGGGACGTGGCATTTGAGTCCAAGGCTGTTTTTATATCTCCTCCCAGGAACTCTTTCCCGTCCTAAGTGGAGTGATAAAGGTCCCACCCACATCCTCCACGCCTCCCCCATCATTCCCTTCCCTGAGCCCTCTCTCCTGCTTTTGTGGCCCTTCATCTATTGCTAGGCTCACAGTGCTGGGTAAAGAGGATAGGTAAGCTGGGGGATAGCCTGTCTGCACTGTCTTCCCATGACAGTGGGCTGATGGCTGGCCCATCATGGGAGAGTTGGCCATTCTCCTGAGCACAGCTTCTAGAACAGTCTGCCTCTGCACTGACTCCTGCTGCCATCAGCAGGGCTGGGTATACAGCCACACATGAAGACACAGGCAGAAGGCAGGTCTCTCTTCATATTTCCCATGAGTTGGCAAAGCAGGTGGTAAATGAATGCTACCTGTTCAGGAATTGTCCCTGCCTGACCTCCGTGTTCTCTTACGAATTTTGTTGCATGTTGGGGACAAAGCGGGTGACCCCGTGCCATCCTGACTGCCTGTCTCATTGCAGGGATGGGCTGCCCTACTGCGAGGCTGATTACCACACCAAGTTTGGCATCCGCTGCGATGGCTGTGAGAAGTACATCACAGGCCGCGTGCTGGAGGTGAGAAGCCCGCGGCCGGGGCTGGCGCTTTCTAAGAGCTAAGTCATCTCAGAAAGAGCCCCGAATCCTTTAGCTGTCCCTTCCCTGTGCCCAGAACCCTTGGCATAATCCAAGCCTTTTCCTCTCCATGCAGAGTTCTTGTTGATGGTGCCACACCGTGTGGATCTCTTGTGATCCGCTTCTTTTCCATAGCCTGACACAGCTCACTCAGATGTATGCACGGGTCAACATGTGTCACACACCTCCTCACATGGGACCTGAGACGTGCTAGGCTGGTCCCCTCGTTAGACACGGCATACTCTGATGTACTTGGTAAATTGGGCTACAGCGAACATCTTTGCCCAAGGCTCAGTTCATGCTAGCAATCTCCGTACTCTCGTTCAGATAAGTCCACGGAAACATGGCTGCCGGATCAAAACTGCAAACGCTTGAACAGTTTGTAGCAGTCACTACAAAAGCTTGCTTTTTGGGTAGAGTCTTCTGGTCCTCTCCCACCTCACCCTTGGCCGACCTGGCTCTGGCATAAGGCTCTGCCTTTCCCTAGCCCCAAGGCAGGCTGGCTGCTCCGCCTCTTTATCATAAACCTCACTTGCCTCTGCACTGAGGTCTTCAAGTTGTTTGAGTGGGTTGTGTAGTAAGTTGTGACTTTTGTCTCCTGTGGGTCCTGTGAGTCTTGCCCTGTGTGGGGAGCACAGCTGATATTCATACAGGCAAATCATGGCTGAGGACAAAAGACCATCCCACTGCCTGGTCCCATGCCCATTGACCCCTGCCCTGCCTTTTCCTCCCACGGACTCAGGAGTTTCACTCTGCCCAGGATCCTTCCCTGTTTCTCTCCCTGAATAGGAAGTCCATCCCTGATGACTTTTGTTTTCATTATTTTTTATTTTAACTTTTTTTGAATCATGGTCTCACGTAGCCGAAGGCTGGCCTCAAACTTGCATAGTTGAGGCTGACCTTGAACTCCTGATCTTTCTTCTCCCTGCTCCAAAGTTCTATGTGCCCCAAGAGTTTTTAAAACAGCCTAAGTGGCTCCTGTTAAAAAGAGCATCTGCCAGCGTCAGCCCCTGAGATGGCTGTGACTGCGACCGCTGTGTGGTTTTGCTTCCCTTCGACAGGACACCTGGCCTCCCTGACTCTCAGTGTCCCTTCCCATGGTGCACTGAAGCCTGCACTTTGCCCTCCCACAGAAGACCTCAAGCTCAGGAAATCATCCCTGTCTTCCCTTATGGACCTGGGGCTGCTGCCTTTCCCTTATACCTTGGCACCTGTGCACCTGGCTGACCACACAGCTGTCCTTCTCAGAAATGAAGACATCTCTAAGGCTCAGCCAGGTGTGGGGAATCCCCCAGCAGAGCCTCATTTGGACAAAGGCTGCCCTAAATCTCCTGACCTCTGCTTGAGTTGAGGGGCATGACAACCTAATCTTGTCTCATCAAGTCGTGACCTTGTGGGCTGATGTGGGTGAATCTGGGGGTCTGGCTGTGCCGTTGTTGTTGCTACTAAAAGCACAGTTTGGGAACCCAACTCAATTAACAGCAGAGCCCAGCAGACCCTCACCTAGAAAAGCTAGTTTAGGTGGGCAGACCTGGCCCAATGCTGAGAGCTGGGCTGAGAGTGAGTTGGTGAGGTTTGTGTTATGACATGTGCCATGTCCCATACCTCAGCTCTGAGTTGCCCCAGGATAATGCATGGGAAGGACATCCTTGTGAGGCCATTGGTGTTCCTCCTGCATGGTGAGAGCAAGCACATGACCACATCTGTAGAGGTCTCTGAGCCAAGTGCAGAAGTAGGGACTAGGTGCTGTGAAGTACTGTTGTGTACTCTCTCTGGACTGTGGAAAGGGGCTCTCCTAGCTGGTAGGATCTGGACAGTCCTGGTTTTCCTCTATAGCCCATGGTGGAGGAGAAAAGGGCTTCCAGGGAATTGCATGCTTTTGGTTTTGCTTTTTCTGGGGGCGAGTGTGCTGCGGTGGTGGTGGTGGTAGTTACTGGAGGTGGCACGACTGAGCCGTTGTGCCGCGGACTCAGCACAGCTCTGAGCATCCTCCTGGCGGGTGTGAGGTGGGAGCTGCGGGTGGAGACAGCCAGCTCTGCAGAAGGGAGCAGCGCTGCAGTGGCACCGCCTGAGGCTGGGCCAGGCAGGCTGGCGCCCGGCTGGTGACACCGAGCTCGTGGGGAGCTGCAAGAACAAGGGACTTATTGGAAGAAAGAAAAAAAAGGACAAGCTTACGAAGGCTGGCTGAAGGCAAGGGTGGCACCCTCAGGGCTCGTGCGCTGAGAAGGGCTGGGGACAGACCCTGTGCAGGTAGGGAGCCTGGCAGAGCTGGCAGGAGCTGTGCTGAGCCAGATGGGTGGGCTGCTGGAGGTGCCTGAGGTTCCTCTTGACCCTGAGACCATTTTCAGCCCCCAGCTGTCCTCTCTGTGAGGCCCACGTGGGAGCCTCCTGTGCTCCCCCACAACAGCCCCATTTGTGCTGTGACTGTGTGAGGTAGGCACAGTGCCATCTTAAGCTCTTGGCGCAAGCAGTACTGCCTGGGAAATGTGCGTTCCTGTCGATGGAGGGTACTCCTCCCTCTTCTTGTCCTCTGCCGCTCCTGTCACTGGCAGCAGTTCTGAGGAGCCTGCGCCATGTGGGCTCATGGGGCATTAGCAGAGGTGGACAGGTGAGAACAGATGTGGCATGTGGGCGAGGAGGCAGAGCTCAGACCTGGCTGACAGGCAGAGACCTGAAGTGGCTGAAGTCAACACTCCGAGAGCGGCAGTTTGCTGGAGGGTTCATGAGGCATGTCCCGAGAGAGTCCTTTGGAGCCGGGTATAGGAGAAAGGTGTGGAAGGAGCCTGTATCCCTTGCAGGGCTCAGAGCCTAGTCCTTAACAAGCCCTCTTGTAAGCCCTATTTCTTCTTTCTGCAAAGGTGGGGGTGAGCATGGTATGGGGGTATAACTTGGCCCCACTCTATTAACCCTGGTGGCACCGTGGTGTGGACCCCACTTTCAGTGCTGTTTTATACCGATGGCTATCACCATGGCAACATGAAGCCCAGGCCCCACTGAGACCACTAATTAATTCCTTCCTCACTTCTTCCCTCCCCCCATCTCCCTTTTTCTTTCCTTCTCCATTCCTGGCATTAATTTCTATGGGGCTCAACTGTGTCCCACTGTGAGCTGGGGTCTTGCCCCACAAATATAAGGTAATGGGGTCCCTGCCATGAAGGATGGTGAGGAGACGAGGCCTGTCCTGCTCTGGCCTGGGTCAGGGACCCACACAAGCTCGTCTGTTTCCATACGCATCTCCTGTGATGTGGAATGTCGCTTTCCATTGCCCACTTCTGTATTCCCATGGGCACGTTCCTTGCCACTCTATACGCATGTGCTCTTTACTACCGGCAGAGAAACTGTGTTTTCAAATAGTTGGGAGCATTTGAAAGCTGAAGACAGCAATGAAGATTGCATCTCAAGCCCCTAAAACCAGTGTGCTTATTTTAGAAGCGTATTCAAGAGTCTTATGTAAAACAAACGATAAAATCACTCCTAAGTGAAATGCTGACACCTAAACTATCCACTGGTTAGAAATGATATTTTTTGTTTTACCTACACACACACACGAGAGAGAGAGAGAGAAGCAACCCACAGACTTACACATGGGTACAATACCCAGAGACACAGAAAAGCACAGACACACAGCATGCCACATGCAAGCACACAGACACAGAGATAGACACGTATGTACAGATGGACAACACAAATAGGCACACAAGCACACATACAGACATGAGTGTGTGCACCACTGTAGGCTGGGATCCTCACCTGTTCCCGTGTGTATTTGGCACAACTCTCTGTCCCCAGGGAGCACTTGTGCTTGACTGTGGGCCTGTGTTCCCTCTCAGAGCACCTTTCATGGATGCGTCCCTGGGTGGGCCTTAAGAGTGGTTGTGTGGGTATATGGCATGGCTTCCCAAGATGGCATCTTAAGTGGAGCTGATGGTGAGGATCAAGATGGGAGGTGGGGACAGGGGAACTGGGGGGGGTAATATGTTGGTAACAGATCCTGAGAAGTGAGGAGCTAGGGGTGGGGCAAAGGGGTTAAGCGCTGGGACAGAGACAGAGTCTGGGAAGGGACTCCAGACCTCTGGGGCTTTGCTGGGCATGTGCTAACTTGGCTCTTCTTTTGGGAGCAAGTGGTTCCCACAAGGACTCAGGTGGAAGAGCCCTGGGGACTCAGTACAGCTGCAGGCATCAGGCACTCCTGGGCTGCCTGGCGCCTGCTCTGGGTCTTGATTCTTTGCCTTCTAAATTTCATTTCCTCATGCAATTAGGACTTTTAAAATCTGGATTCAGTCTTGGAGATTCACAAGGAATTTGCAAGCCAGGTATGGTAACACCCACCTGGAATTCCAGTATTCAGGAGGCAATGGCAGGAGATTTGCAAGTTCAAAGCTAGCCCGTGCTGCAAAGTGAGACTGTCTCTAGAGACCAAAAGCTGGGATATAGTTCAGTGGGAGAGCAGTTGCCCAGCAAAGGCAAGACTCTGAGTTCAAATCCAACATTTCAAAATAATCAGAAATAAAGGCATATATACTTTTGAGACTGGCCAAGGAATGCCGTTGGCTCCGAGCAGCCACCTGAAGGTCCAGCTCTGCTTTCCATGGAGAAACCAAAGGAAAACCCAGGGGCAGAAGGAGGCATGTCCAGGTCCCTAGACAATCTGCTTTATCAAGTTGCGTCTGAGGAAGAAGGTACCGGCCTCGGATATGTGAGGCTCGGTTAGGAAGATCCAGATTTCTGCTGCCCATGTGAGGAATGGTCCCTTGCTCCACCCTGCAGAGAAGAGGCAGTATCTCAAGGCATGAGGCTTCTACCCCACTTTAGTGCCACTGACCCTTTCTGCAGGGCTGCTGGGGACAATCCTTGGAGCCCTGCCTACTGGCCTGGCCCTCCTGGGGCTGTAGGAGCTTTGTGCCCTTGTGAGCTACTCACATCTCCCTAGCCATCCTTGGTCT